ATATATATATATATATATATTCTGTGCCTTGTGTGCTCATTTTCATTGTTTAAAAAAATACTAGAAAATGGCTAGACCTGTAATCCTATCCTCAAGGAGGCTGAGGCAGGAGGGTCACAAACAAGTTTAAATTCAGCCTGGACAACTTAGGAAGATCTTGTCTAAAAATAAAAAGTAAAAAAGAGCTGGAGATGTAGCTCAGTGCAGAGGTACTGGATTCAATCCCAGTACTGAAAAAAAATTGTGTTCTTTTTGGCTTTTTGAGACGGGGTCTCACTATGTAGTTCAGGCTGGCCCTAAACTCACTGTGTACCCCAGGCTGGCTTCAAACTCACAGCAATCCTACTGCCTCGGCCTTCCAAGAGCTGAGATTACTGAAGTGAGCCACCATACCCAGCCTGAAAAGCATTTTTTAAATATAGTTAAGCAAAGAAAAAGGGAGGTGGGTTGCTATTCTGTCATAGAGCATTTGCCTAACCTGAGCAAGGCCCTGGCTTTGAGTCCCAGAGCAGCAAAAAGGAAAGGTGGGGGGGCATATATTTCATACTCTGGGGAATCACTGTCAGTATTTTATCAAACATTTTGTGGGGTTTTTTCTGATGCAAATATATACTAAAACTATAGGATGTTTTTCTTTTTCTTTGGAGACAGGATCTCTCACTGCAGTCCAGGATGGCCTTGAACTCGCCATGTAGCCCAGGATGGCCTCTGATTCCTTGCAATCCTCCTGCCTCAGTGTCCTGAATGCTAGGATTATAGGCTTGTCCCACCTCACTGGGCCTGTTTTGTTTTTCAATATTTGGGTTTTCAGCGGGTTCTGTTTTTGTTTTTGTTTTTTGTTTTGTACTGAGGATCGAACTCTGGACCTTGTGCTTGCCAGGCAAGCACAATGCCACTAAATTCCTGGCCTTGTTTTGTTTTGGTTTCTTTGGTGCTGGGGATCGAACTCAGGACTTTGTACTTGCAAAGCAGGTGGTTGAACTATTGAGCTAAATTCCCAACCCTTGTTTTGCTTTTTGAGACAGGGTCTTACTATGTAGTTCAGGCTGGCCTTGAACTCACTCTGTAGCCCAGGCTGGCCTCCAACTTGCAGAGATCTTCCTGCCTCAGCCTCTTGAATGCTGGGATTACAGCTGAATACCACCACACTTGGCTTATGTTTCTTTTTAGTATATGGACAGTTTTATAACACTTTTGTTTAACAGTGAAAAATAAATATTTGATAAAAGAAAGAAATGGTGTAATAGTCTGGAAAAGAAAATGAGGTGGGAATGAGAAACATTTAGAGAGAGAGGAAGGGGTGGGCACAGGCTGGCATGAAGCAGCCGGTCACCTCCTGCTGGATGACGATGTCTTCCTCCTGCAGGTCCTGGATCTGCATGACAATCAGCTGACAGCCCTCCCTGAGGACCTGGGGCAGCTGACCACCCTGCAGGTGAGGTGACGGGACAGGAGCGCCCTCTCCCGGTGGATTCGGGCTCTGCTCCCCCCTCCCACTGCGATGGCTCTCTGTTCTTTGCTCCCTGTTGGCAGCAGCTCTGTATTGGTGATGTGCCCGTTTTGTGCCAGCCTTGAGCTAAGCCTGGCCTGGCACGACTTTGTAGGTACCCTGCAGTCACCCTGCAAAGCCGGTATTAGTGTTGCGCCCATTTTACAGGAAAGGAGAGGCTCCTGTAGCCCTTAGATAAAAAAGCTACTTCCCAGGGCTGGGGATTTAGCTCAGTGGTTCTGCCGCCTGCCTCACAAGTGCAAGATCCTGAGTTCAAGTTCCGGTAACAGAAAAAAAAAGAGCTACTTCCCTCACCAGGACCAAAAAAAGCCTGCATGGTAGCGCACACCTATAATCTCAGCTCTGGGCAGGCTGAAGCAGGAAGATCACTGCAAGTTCAGGCCAGCCTGGGCTGCATAGCAAGTTCAGGTCATCCTGAACTATGTAGCAAGGCCCTGTCTCAAAAAAACAAACAAACAACAAAAAAAGCCACTAGGACCCAGAAGGCCCCCATACACAGTCGTGTGGTTGGAGTATTAGCTTTGCAGGCACCAGGCCCTGGAAAGGAAAAAAAGCACCAGAAAGAAAGAAAAAAAAAAAAAGACCTCATATGATGGATCTGGGCCACCTCCTCTGTCCCTGGCCCAGCAAGGCCTCTCCTCTTCGCAGCCCTCCCTTCTGCTAGGGTGGCATCCTGGGGCTGTTTGTGGGACTCATCCTTCATCCACTGAGCCCGGCTGTCCCTGCAGATCCTCTCTGTCTTCCCCAAGTGGATTCCCACGTGTCTCTGCCTCTACCTTGCTTATTTCCTAAGAGCACTAATTGCAGTCTATAGTTAGTAATGGGGGAGGGGGTGAAACAGGGTCTCACTTTGTAATCAAAACGGGCCTTGAACTCACTATGTAGCCCAGGCTGGCCTTGAGCTTGCAGCAGTTTTCCTGCCTCAGCCTCCCGACTGCTGGGATTATAGGCGTGTGTCAGCGCACCCAGAGATGCTATCACATTGTACAGAAAACCAAGGTCCAGAGAGATGGCCGTCACTTGCCCAAGGTCACACAGAGGGCAGAACAGTAGTGATTGTCCCCACTTGGAGTCACATACACCCCTCAGTGTAGGATCTCAGGGGGTGCTGTAAACATATGTGTATGTTTCTAGCATTGCTACCTTTGCTGTTTTGTAACTTGTGGATATCTGACAATAAATGAGCCATCCTTTGGTTCATCAAATATTTACCTGCCATTATGTTTAATGGCCACTTAGCTTCCCTTTATATAATTTTTTTTCTCAGGCAGCACCACTGAGAATATGTCCATTTTTAATGGCTGCTCGGTGTGGCTTCCTGCTGGCTTTTGCAGTCCCGCATCCCAGAGGGACTGTGACCTTGGGGCTCCTTGAGCGTGAACCGGAGCTGACTGCGCTGCCTGCTCAGCCCCCGGCTCTGCTGGCCCCTTCTTCCTCTTCACGGCTCAAATAGGGTCATAACAATAACATACCTTCCTCCACTCCTATAATCCCAGCCCTCTGGGAGGCTGAGGCAGGAGGATCACAAGTTTGAGCCCAGCCTGGAAACTTTAGGGAGCTAGTGATACCCTGTCTCAGAATAAAACACAAAAAGGGCGGGGAATGTAGCCCAATGCAAAGGCCCTGGGTTTGAACCCCTATCTGTCCCTTCCTGGCAGAGCTGGCGGGAGGAAGAAAAGCCATTGTGTGGCACTTAGCCCAGGGCAGTGGGAGGGAGTGGCGGAGTCGGTGCTGTCTGTGTATGGCCCTCGCTGCTTCCTGCTCTTTCCTAGGTGTTGAATGTGGAAAGAAATCTACTGACACATCTCCCCCGCTCCATTGGGAACCTGGCCCAACTCCAGACCCTCAATGTGAAAGGTAGGCGGCCAGGAAGCCCTGTCCTGTGACCCTGGTGAGCTCTGCCCCGACCGGGCCCCATCCACAGGGGCCTTCCTGGGCGCCATCAGGCATGAGGGTGACCCTGGAACTACGTCCCTCTGTCTCCGTGGTAAACAGGGTTCCTGGGACCCCTTGGAGGGGAGGGCATTGCCGGTCACAGCTGGGCCGAGACTCGGTCACAGTGGAGCCCTGTGGCCCCCTGAGAGACGTCACACGGTGACTGGCACTGCACACTTAATGTGAGGCCAGCAGGGGGCGCAGAGGCAGAGGGCCCCAGGGTGGACCCCAGGTTACACATGAAACTGGGGCCCTGGAGGCCAAGTCAGTTGTCCAAAGTCACCCAGCAGCAGCTGCCTACCCGCAGAGCCCCACCCACCCCCGAGTCCTGAAGCTGGCGGACAGGAAGCGGGGCCAGGTTTGGGGGGCTGAGCTCTGCCGCGGGTCTCTCCAGACAACAAGCTGAAGGAGCTGCCAGACACCCTGGGGGAGCTCCTAAGCCTGCGAACCCTCGACATCAGTGAGAACGGAGTTCAGAGGCTGCCGCAGACGCTGGCTCACATCCGGACGCTGGAGGTCAGTGGAGCCGTTCTCCCCTGGTTCTTCTGGTGCACCCCCCACCCCCCAGGGTGCCCAGTCCCAGGGCCCCGAGGTGCGGTGCTTAGGAGCTCAAGGAGAGACCAGTGTGTGACCACGTACAGCAGTGTCACTCTGGCTGCCGCAGGGGTGGAGCTTGATGCAAGTTGTGGGTTCGGGCATGGTGGCACGAACCCATCGTCCCAGCACTTGGGAGGCCGAGGCAGGAGGATTGCTGAATTCAAGGCCAGCCTGGGCTACATAATGAGACCCTGTCTCAAAACACAGCCACACAAAAGAAAAAAGAGAAAGAGCAGGACACCAATCATACTGTATTAGGGCCTAGCCTGTCTCCAAACACAGTCACATCCTGAGATACGGGGTTAGGACTTTCGCACATGAATTTAGGGAGGGGCACAGCCCATATCAGACGCTGACACAGCACAGACCCCTCGGGGACCACGGGCTGTCCCAACCATGGCAAGACTCTCCAAGGCCAGGCACGTGAGCCGTGTTAACTCTCAGTCTTCCCCCAAGTCCTCTGAGGCGATACTGTTGTGCCACTCTGTGGATGGAGAAACTGAGGCACAGGCAGTTTATGGAGCCTTCACAAAGGCCGAAAGTTAGTGAGAGATGGGCTGTGGAGAAGTCCGTCTGGGCCCCGCGCCCATACCCTTCACCCTTAAACCTCGGCGTCCTGGTGTCGACAGCGGTCTGGCCCAGGGTTCCAGAGCCTCGGTGAGAGTGGTTTCATCTCACAGCCAGACTGCCGGGGACGTGGCCAACCTCAGAGCGCACATGACCAAGGGAGGCCACACCAGGCTGGCACGGTGCATTCCCTGTGCCGTCCACAAGAGGTCATGTGGGGACAGGGATGTTCGGTGACTGCTATCCAAGTTGGTGGCCACAATGGCAGCTTCTTCTAGTGCTTGCAATGTGGCCAATGTGAGCAAGGAACTAAGCGGTTTTATTGAGTTTTAGTTCATCTGTAGTTGAACAGCCATAGCTATGTTGGACAGCATGGCTCACAGCACACAGTCCTAAATCTTTTTTTGATTTTTGAGACAAAGTCTTGGTCTGTAACTCAGGCTGGACCCAAGCCCGCTGTGCACCCAAGTCTGGCCTCAAACTCAAAGCAATCCTCCTGCCTCAGCCTTCTGAGTGCTAGGATTACAGGCGTGCGCCACTGCACCCGACCATACTTCCTATCCCTCAGATGTTTAGTAGGTGCTGTGCTCTGGGGCCGGGGTGTGGCTCAGAGGTACAGAGCATATGCAATCCTAGTGCTACAAAAAGTCCGGGTGGCTGTTACTCATTTCAAACCCATGAATCATAGCGATCCTCCTGCCTCAGCCTCCTGAGTGCTGAGATTACAGGCGTGCACCACCACTCCCAGCAGCAGCTCCTTTTAGTGAGGCCAGACTCTGTGTGTGATGGAAGGGCCTGACTGAGGAAAGCTGTTCACATCACGGCAGCCGGGAAGCAGAGGGAGAACAGAAGAGCCGGGAGGGAGATGCGCCCTTCCGGGCCGCCCCTCAGTGACCACTGCTAACCACGCCCCCAACAGCGCACTCAGCTAGAGATTCAGCTAGAGATTTTCCTACTGCACCCTCACGGTCCAATCACCTAGAAGCGCACCTCTGAAATCAGGCATGGTGGTTCACACCTGTAATGCTGGCATTTTGGAGGCTGAGGCAGGAGGATCACTGTGAGTCCAAGAACAGCCTAAACTACATAGTGAGGCCCTGTCTCAAAAAAAAAAACCCCACCTCTGAACATGTGAGGCCCTAAGGGATACCCCAGATCTAAGCCGTGACACCTGTCCAAGGACGCGGAGCCGGGACCGTGCTGGGCCGGGATTTGGATGTGATTAGAGCCGCAGTGTCCGTCACCCTTGTATGGAAAGAGTTTGTCCTCTGTACTGGCCTATGGACCACCAACCACCCACGGCCACCCAGCACTTGAGAGGTCGCCAGGGCCACCAAACCGAGGTCGTTGGAACTCAGTAACGCGCACCCGCCTGGTTCACCGCCTTCGATGTGGCTTCCTGGCCCAGCTCCCTGGCAGGTGCGCATTCACCTCCGAATGGTTTCTTTCTGCTGACAGCCGCAATCAGGTCCCGCCACACTCCTGTAACTTTGTGTCACCCACTTGCAACATCCTGGCCCGGTCAGGCAGCTTCTGCTCGCGTCACCCGTGTCGTGACCCGCGTGGTAACGGGGCTGTGTCCACAGGCGCTGAGCCTCGATGCCTCGACCATAGTCTTCCCGCCGCAGGAGGTGTGTGGCGCCGGCACCGCGGCCATCCAGCGGTTCCTCTGCAGAGGTAAAGGTGGCCGGGGAATCACACGGGCAACAGAGTCACAGACAGGGCGCAGGAGGGGACGGGAGAACCAGTGGGCACGGGCGGCCACTGGGGTCGTCCAGGGGGCAGACAGTGTCCGTTAGGGGCCCTGCCCCCGTGGCACCCTCGGCACCTACCCGAGACTCACATTGGTCCTCTGCGTTAGGGCCAAGGCGCCGCTGCAAAGAGGAGCGGAAGTGGACAGTTGCTCTAACCCGTAGCTGACTCTGAGCAGGTCCTCAGCTCGGGACAGAGCGCTTGCCGAGCATGTGGGAGGCCCTGGGTCCCATCGCCAAAGAACGAATGAATTTTAAAAACAAACCCTAACCTCTTCCTTAAACGGGAGATAGTGGCCCTCACCATCAGACGGACGAGTGAGATTTAATTAAAATGAGAACTCCCCAGCCGCTGAAGATGCCACTTAGGGACAGAAAGGGTGTGTACGGGACACACACGCTGACAAGAGGCTGCACTGGAGCTTGGCACGAGAGAATGTCCCGATGGCCCCCAGCGTCTGAAAAGGTGCTGCACGCCACTTTAATCAACAGGAAAAGACTAAACTGCAAAGCCAGGCGTGGGGCGCATGCCTGTAATCTCAGGAGGCTGAGGCAGGAGGATCGCTGGGAGTTCCAGGCCAGCCTGGGCTACATAGTGAGTTCTAAACCAGCCTGAATACATATAAGATCCTGCCCCTCTCCCAAAACAACCCCCAAAGGGTTACTTATACATACCTGACTAAAATGGCCAAAACTGAGCTATCAATACCAAGAATTAGCAAAGCAGAGGAAGCAGCAGGAATGTCAGAGGCCCAGCTTTTGATAGGCCACGCAGGAGGCTGAGGCAGGAGGCTCCCTTGAGCCCAGGAGTTTGGAACCAACATGGGCAACACAGAAAGACTCCGTCTCAGAAAATAAAACTCACTGATACTCTGCTTGAGCTGAATGTTCAAACGCCCTATGAAACCTCAGGTCCATGCCTCACCATATGTTCAGCTGGAAGGTGTATGGCTGTAAGGACCCCTGTTCCCATTCCCCTGAGGGATATCTGTGAGGACAGCCTGGCTAACTTGGAAGGCTGAGGCAGGAGTATTGCCACACAGTCAAGGCCAGCCTGGGCTACAAAGTGAGACCCTGTCACAAAAAGGCACACACACACAAATAACAGAGACTGCTAGTCTGGGGTGTGGGCGTGACTCGGTGGTTAGCACTTGCCATGACGTCTGAGGCCCTGGACTGCACACACAGAGAGATAGTAAAATAAAGTCAGTTGGGCTGGGGATGTAGCTCAGTGGTGCAGCCGCCTGCCTCGCAAGCACAAGGGCCTGAGTTCGATCCCCAGTACCAAAAAAAAATTTAAAAAGCAGTAAAGTCAGTTAACCTGATAAACAGCAAGGCCTATTATTATTTTAACGCCATTTACCTGGGTATTTTAGTATTTTCCCATTTCAATATTTCTTATAAACTGCCTATTTGTATCCTTCCAAAGGGTGGGGCAGGTGACCTCCATCAAACTGTGAACCTTGTTTTCCTGAATGCCGTCACCCAAGTTAAAACAGCAACCATCTGAAGAAGATCGTTAGAAAACATAGCATAGACCCAAGGTTGCTTGCCACAAATATATAAAGAATGCCCACGAATCAGTACTGAAATCACACTGCCGTAGAAAACATACAAGGCGTGACCCGTTCATGGTGCCGGGAGGAGACGGCCAGGGCCAGGGCCAGCAGCCCGGTCCAGGCCTCGCACACACGGGAAGCTGTGAGGACCGCGGGGTCCCAGACCCAAGCCTCTCTGCTAATCCCTGGCCTTTGCTGCTGTGTCGTCCTCGGTCGGATCAAGGAGGCCGAGCCTGAGCGCTCGCGGTACCCAGGCCCAGGAGGGGACAGCGGCCCACAGAGGCCCGGTGTGGGAAGGACCAGAGCAGTGGCCAAGTGCGAAGGGGAGAAGGAGGGGAGCGAGGGCGGCACCTGGGGAGCTCTGGGTCCCTCCCGGCCACCGTGTGTCCCGTGTCCTGCATCCTGCAGAGTCGGGGCTGGAATATTACCCCCCTTCTCAGTACCTGCTGCCGGTACTGGAGCAAGATGGAGCCAACTGCGCCCAGGACAGCCCTGACGGACCGGCAGACAGATTCTCCAGGGAGGAGACAGAGTGGCAGGTAAGGCGAGCCTGGGTGTCCGTCTGTCCATCCGTCTTGTGTGTGTCGGGGCCACGGCCCCCAGATTCCTCCACCGTTAGGCGGCTGGCATGGCTTCCCAGGCCTCGCCCGGCAGCCCCTCGCCCACTGTGTCACTGGCAGAGCCGCTGTCGGGAGCGCTCCCCCTCCGGCCTCTGTGACCGCTTCTCAGAGCGCAGGCTCCGTCTTCCGTAGTGCTGAACACAGTGCTGCATCTAGCGGATTACGGGGTGGATCACTCCGATCCAGATCTGTGGGTGCCTGCACGGCTGCCTGTGCCCCCTCTGTGCCCTCGCGCCCGTAGCTCACCACGCAGGGGCCTCTGACCGCCAGGTACGGGAGAGGGCGTCACAGGGCCTGTGGGCTCAGCTTTTTGTCTTTCAGTGAGTCCTCTTGTTTGTTTTGTTTTGTTTGAGACAGGGTCTCACTATGTAGTTGAGACTGACCTGGAACTCACTATGTAGCCCAGGCTGGCTTTGAACTCACAGTGACCCTCCTGCCTCAGCCTCCCGAGCACTGGGATTACACTTGCTCCACCATGCCGGGCTTCTTGGTTTTGTTTTCAGAGCCCCAGGCCTGCCCAGTGCCAGCTCCCAGAACAGTCTTGGTGCGCTCCTCCCCAGTACCCAGCAATGTGTCCTCACCCTGGGGTCCCCTGCCCCCCCCGGGGGCCTTTGACCCGGGCTCGGTTCTGTTGCAGCAGTCAGGGGCGTGGCACGTGTGACCCTAAGAACCACACTGTCCCATTCCCTGACTGCCCTCTCTTCTCCCCCCAGAACAGGTTTTCCGACTTTGAGAAGCGGAAGGTAAGAAAGCGCCTCCCCACCCCAACCGCTGCCCCTGTGTCCTGGCGCCCATGGGGACCCTGGGTCACCAGGGCCTCTGTCCCCGTCTCCCAGGAGCAGAAGATGCTGGAGAAACTGGAGTTCGAGCGGCGCCTGGAGCTGGGACAGCGCGAGCACGCCCAGCTGCTGCGTCAGAGCAACAGCCAGAAGGACGAGGTCCTGCAGACGCTGCGGGAGGTGCGCACAGCCCAGGGGCAGCAGGGGCAGCGGGAAGGGACAGCCAGGCCGCCCT